TGTGTTCTACTGTAGGAAGGTATAGTGATTGTGTGATAGCTAAAAAAAAAAAAAAAAAAGAGAACCTCATAAAATCTCATTGAAAAGGGGAATGTTGTGAAAGACAGTGGATTAACCATCCCACAATCACACACAAAGCATATAGAGAAAAACAAAAAGACACAAAGATTTAACGAGATTCAGCTAAGCTTAATCCGCGAAATAGAAGCAGAGAGAGTTTTTCACTATAAATGAAAAGAAAAACACAATACAATTTATAGAATCCCAACTACAACCTTTATATATAGATTCCAAACAGTCTCAAACCTATAAAAGAAATGTCTTCCCAATCCGATAAGGATAATTAGTTTTTCTTTCCCAAATATATTAGAATAATGTGTTTCCTAAACCTATAGAGATTATGAATTTCCTAAAATACAAATATTTTATTTAAGACATAAATAACAGGGAAAAACAACTTCCTTTCTGGTGTTTCCTCCTATAGTCCATTTGGACACTTAGACAAAGCTTCTGATTAAAGTGATATTTGAGTGATTACCTAAGGGATGAAAATATTACTCTTTTAACCATTCAATGTTGAGAACTTGAAGAACCTGAAGATGGCTTAATGCAAATCACACCATTAATATCCTCTTCACCTTGAATTAATCTAGCAGGAAATTGAAAATCTCCATTGAAATGGCTATTGTAAATTGAAGATTTATGTTCTGCACTTGCCATTGGTTGCTGTAATTCCGAAGCATGACTAATTAACTGTGAAAAATTGGACTGAAGGGGTTCCCTTTGGGACAAAAATTGTTGATGGGGTAATATCCAATTTGCCATTCTTGGATTATAATTTTCTTCAAAATTGACTAAATTTGAACTATGGTTGGAGTTTTGGTCATGTAAATTGGTGTGAAGTGATAATCCAAGATCTTCATTTTGGATTGAATCTCTAGAAATTTCTTGATGTGGAAGGCTTAGTAAATTCATTAATGTTGTCCCGGAATTCATTGGGAAGAATGATTTCGAGGTATCTGCAACAGATGACGTCTCAGGTTCAGGTGCTTGCATCACGTGTGAAGAACTGCTTGGATCTTCTGCTAATTGCCTTTGGACCAAGAATCTGTTAAAAATATAATTAAATAAATAAAAATATGCACACTTTAGAACTTAAATTTTTAGATGAGATGATCACAATATTTAACAGAATTCGTACCTAGAAGAAAAAATTGATAGTAGGTGTGGTTCTAAGGCAATATTCCCACTTGAACCAACTTCACGTTCTATACTTGTGGGAATGTTTTTTAGTTCTACGTCATCGTTTTGGTCCCATGGAGGTAACTCAGCTAGCTTACCAATGGCATTTTTTGCTCTCTTGATTAGCCAATCCACAGCTTTGCTTGGCTTGTCATATCCTAGCCGATCCTGCATTCAACGGATTCAACTGAGTCCAATATTGTCTTATATAAAACATATATACTATATATTAAAAAGATCATTAAGATTTCAATAAGTACTAAGTTCTGAATCCATGATTATGAAACTGTGCGCAATGGATGAAGTAGAAAAAGCTTAAATATTGAATTAATTAAATTTAAATCTTGAATCTGCCTTTACCTGCACGTCATAGAATTGAATAGCGGTGAGAGCAGATAGCCGAACCCTACGATCTCTTGGACCTTTAGCAGTATATACTTTGCTATGCCGGTCCTTCCGGCCAGTGGACCGGGGGATTCGCCCTCCTTCGACTTGTACTATCTCCCCCTCCATGCTCTCTTTACAAATATTTTTGCTGCTCTATAATTTGCATATCCAATTTTTTTTTTCTTTTCTTTTTCACATGTAAGCTAGACACAAAGAATCTGCTCAAACAAAATCTTGGTTTAATTGGCTAAAAATACGAATCTTTTTTATGTGAGTTTTGGTAGGATTCGACAGCACTAGATGTCTACTATAGCTTTAGGATTGACAAGAAGGTTTTGAGAATGGCAAGTAAAAGAAAAGAGGAATGGAACAATGGGTTTTAAAGAATAACTTGTGATTGGCATGAGAGTAGATATATACTAGGATAGTTACACACCACGTCATGCCAACACACTATTTTCCTTTTACATTGAAAAATAACTAAATAAAAGGAAAGTCCTTTTTGATGGATTATAATAAGCAGCGAAAGCAATCCCAGTATCAAAATCACATGTAATCTAGACAACTAGTATATACGGGGTTTCACGGGTTACTTCTTGAAGCGTGAACATATCTCTTCTATCACGTGAGCCTTCAGTTCCATAACTTCTCAATGGAATCTCCATCACCCGCACAATCGTGATCCTCGAACGTTCCGCAGTCTTCTACTATGTTACCCAAATAATATCGGAAATAGAAATTTCGTGTGGCCGAAATTTCTAGGAAAACTTGGCTGAAAATTTCAGCCACCATGTACTACCACTTCTAGGTGGA